AAATTTTATCTCGCCTCTGCTATTTCCGAAGGGTGGAACCCAAAGGTTTGCTGACAATTACAGTAAAACCCCTGTATAATAAGGTCAGGTCAGATTGAGTGAGCTGTGGGTCCGGATGAAGAAAATTTTATCTCGCCTCTGCTATTTCCGAAGGGTGGAACCCAAAGGTTTGCTGACAATTACAGTAAAACCCCTGTATAATAAGGTCAGGTCAGATTGAGTGAGCTGTGGGTCCGGATGAAGAAAATTTTATCTCGCCTCTGCTATTTCCGAAGGGTGGAACCCAAAGGTTTGCTGACAATTACAGTAAAACCCCTGTATAATAAGGTCAGGTCAGATTGAGTGAGCTGTGGGTCCGGATGAAGAAAATTTTATCTCGCCTCTGCTATTTCCGAAGGGTGGAACCCAAAGGTTTGCTGACAATTACAGTAAAACCCCTGTATAATAAGGTCAGGTCAGATTGAGTGAGCTGTGGGTCCGGATGAAGAAAATTTTATCTCGCCTCTGCTATTTCCGAAGGGTGGAACCCAAAGGTTTGCTGACAATTACAGTAAAACCCCTGTATAATAAGGTCAGGTCAGATTGAATCACGTTGATCAAATTTAGCAAAATTTCTCCCACTCGTGCGGGCTCGTATTGTCAGCGGAAGTCCGCTCAAAATGTGAGCCTGCGGTACTGGGAGAAAATTTGCTGAATATGACCAGCGTGAATAGGTTCTTGCGTATTCGATTAGAATATTAAGTTGTATTTGATGACTCTAACTGTCTGAACTCTACAAAAAGGTACATTTACACTTACGTAATTATTATCAGAACCGTTTCAAAATTTCAGGCTGAATTGGTTCTGATAATAATAATGGATGTCTAACTGGCAGGTTCTTATATGCGGGATTTTAGTTTCGAGAAAATGAACGGTACCATGCAATGCTCATTTGCATATATAGCGAGAAAATATCGAAATAGTTTTCATCTTTTCAAGTTTCATTTATTGTGCAGCTTTTTAGGTTAAGATTTGGTCGGCCGCCTTCGGGCCCTTTTTAATTAAACATTAGGTGGAGGTCGATACTCGATAGAGAAACTCTTTAAAACTCCTCAACGTGGGCCTTTGAACCCACGTTTATTGTCTATAAGCCTATATATGGTTTGATACTGTTTTCTTTGTATTTTTCGGTGATTTCTGGAATGTACTGACAAAAATGAAGGCCCACGCAGACCTGACCTTGACACCACATTAAAATCGGAGAGTATTAATTTGTTGTTCTTTTTGGCTACCAAAGGCCCAACTGCGCAAAAACCTATAGGTAAAACATCATAACCATAGTTCTAAGGCCGCCGAAAACTTCAAAGAGTTCTGCAATTAGCCTTATTTCTCGCGAAGGTTCTAAAATCTAAATCCGCCATTTTTGGGTACTATAGTTTACTATAGCAACTAAAGTTATTTATTTATTAACTTTACAATCATACAAAAAATATAACAATGATTGAAGGTATGGTCAACAGCTAGGACATGAGTCCCATGTGAAGACCAACCTGATACAATACAATAAGTAGACATACATTAAAGACAAGGACTAGAACACTATTTACATAGCTATATAAAAATCAATAGTTTAGATTATCAGCAACAGCTTAAGTTGAAAGAACGGCATTTAGAGCCGTAGGTTTTCCAAGTGCGCATTCTGTTAACATCGAAAGAAGAGTCTAATTGAGAAGAGTAGTGAGAATGGAGCTGGAACTTAAAGGATGAAACAGACGAACTGTTACGAATGATTGGCGAGAGATTGTTCCATATAGAAAGACAATTCGGTTAAAAAAAGAGTTTCTAAAAAGAGAGGTTTTGCACGGATTGACTTGAAGCAAGTTCTTGCTCCAGAGATACATACAACGCGAAAAATCTAAGCGATGTGAAAATAATTTTTCAAATATTTAACTGTAAATCGATTTATAATGATTATACTTCATTACAACTATAGTTATAGAAAGTTTCATTTTCACTGCTTACTATATCCCTGTTCTAAAAAAGGTTGCCACCCAAAAATGGCGTGAGAAAGGCAAATTGAGCTGCAAATATTGATGTTGGAAAAGTATAGAGTCGCTTTTCAGAAGTAAACAATATTTAGGGGTAGGGGCAAGCCCCACGTTCCCTGTTTTAAAGATAGCCATCTCTTCGTTACAATGTTCCTAAAAGGTACGGATATGTATTTTTCGCTATACGGAAATTATTGAGTGTTTGAAGTAAATATCATATAAACATTGTCATTGATATAAGGTCAAGGTGACAACTACTTGCATGGGCGACCAAATTCTTCTAAAAATTCTTCAACCCCTGTGTTTTGCTATTGTGCAATGATGAACTATTTCCAATCCCTGAGTATGACTACTGCAGTGTGGCGAGTGTCGACCTTGTGAGCGCTTTAATTGTTTATTTTCTATCAACCATGGAAGGTATCATTGTCATTTTTGGCCACTGACTGTGATGAATGAACGAATATACGCTCGTGGGCAGACATGGAATGCACTGGAAATAGATTACAACTGAGTCTGTGAAGATTTCTTCTCGGGTTTTCTTTTCTTCATTGTAATAACGGGAATTTGTGTGATTGCTTTAGCACCTGTGCGATGTGGCAAAGCTCCAATATTTCTAAAATGCCTTCACACATGTGAATTGAATTGAATTGCAGAACTTGGAACTCCAGCAGTTTTGTTGAAATGTTTGAAGTTTGAAAGAAGACGGTTTTGCGTCACGCCAGGCATGTTGTCAATGCTATTTGTGAATATTGCGTAAGGCATTGGACGGGGCATATAGTGGCGTGATTTTGATTGACAAACACATGGGGAGAAGAATATATATTAATTTAGCAAGCGGCAGTTTTGATAGAACTATCTAGTATAAATAAAGTTAGTTCAGTTTTACTTCATATTTGGGCCATTTGGCTCAAGTTTAAGGTATTAGTCCAGTAGTATATTGAGCTCATTGGCTGGTCACCGCCAGAGCTCTGGGAGTCTGGGACGAGTATGCAATAAATCCAAGATGGCGGCAAATTTAAATTTCTAAAGACGAAAAAAACATATTCAACATAATAGATAGAATTGAACGAAAACAAAGACGAACTTCTCAAGATAAAACATTCAACGTTGACTGAATATCTCCAAACTCACCCAACAACAAAACTGTTTTTCAAGTAAGTGAATAGCGTATATTTTGAAGATATAAAAAAATAAAAAATCGGACGTTTTTCACCGATCCGAGTTTTATCGAATTTATCGATTTTTTGCAAAAGTGGACCGCAGAATTGAAATCTCCATGTTCAAATTCGTTTATGCCGGAAATGTGTGATGTTTGGACATTCAGGGTGCGAGTTAATAATACGGCGTTTTGGAAAATTTTCCTATACATTCGATTGAAGTTTCCGCTGCACGGCTGCAGTAAAAATGTTTTCATTTTTGGCGAAAATTTTAGATAGGGAGGGAAAATTGGTGACGTCAACTCGACTCGAAGAATATAAAAATTATGTGGGTCAGAATTTTTACGAAAAGTGTTTGGGGGGGGGGGGGATTTTTGCACGGATTTTTTCCGGCCATCTAGCTGCTTGGGCTGGGTCTATGACTGTGTTTTTCGAATTTTATTCTTTGCGCAAAAATGTTTTGTCCCCCCCCCCCACTTTTCTAATGGTCTTCTCCCAATTGAAAATTCATCAAATGACATCATATATGGACTGCAGGGGAAAAGTTGATCAACATGGGTGGGGGGGGTTCTATGTACAGTGGTGCCTAAATTACTTTGAATTTGTACTCTAGTAAAAGTAATTAACAGTAAAACGACTTGAGTCAAGAGTAAAAAGTACTGGAGGCAAAACTTATCCATACAAAGTATCCTTTAAAATACTTGAAGTAAAAGTACTATTGTCTGTACAAAAGACAAAACAACACACGCATTATATGCGTGCACCTATACAGAGGGTCCTGAAGCGGTTAAATGGGAACTGGGATTGATCTATTTTTAGACTGGGAAAATGGCATTTCGGTTGCTGGGACTGGGATTTGGAGGAAGAATTTGGCCACTGGGAATGGGAAATGAGGTCCTCAAAAATGGGATTGAGGTAATGCGAGTCGATTCCCAATTTTTCCACGTTTTAAGTATTTTAAAATACAATTTTGGTGTTTTAAAATCCGTTTTTGGTGTCTTTGGTCATGATTTTTGTTGTTAACTATATTATTCACAGCACTACCTGCGAACAGGCATACTCTGGCGCCCGGAATTCTGGGTTTTCTGATTATGTGTGTCCCCAAGTCAGATGCACAGCGGAATATATGCCCGGTTTCCGGTATATACTTCATCTAAGCCTTAGTATATACCTCAAAGGCAAAGCACAACCGCTTCTGCCACACAGTGGCTTAAAAGGTCTTAAAACTGTTTATTCTACCGATAAATAACTTTTTTTATTGACTGGGATTTCAATAACTCGGACTGGGATTTCTAATAAAAATCCAACTGGGACTGGGACTTTGCCAAAATTTCAGGTGGGAAATGGAATTGCCCCCCACCCCCCTTCAGGACCTTCTATACAATATTTCACAGCATGGTCTACTTTCCAGACCCCTTTAAGATATAAGAAATCCATTAAATAAATAATGCTTATAACTATAAGTAAGCCACAAACGCATGTAGAGGTCGTATTACCTATCCCGAAATCAGTAAAATAGATCGGGAATAAATCACGTAAAATTAAACAAAAGTTAGCAAGTATCGAAACACTTCGCCACAAAATGAAAATAACGAAGTAAAACGTTATTTCTTAAAACGACTTCGTTCCAAGTAAAAGTAATGCAGAAAAAGTTTACTTTGTTACATGCTGACTTCTCAAAAATAGTACTCAAGTACAGTAACGAAGTACATTTACTTCGTTACTTGGCACCACTGTCTGTATAGTGATATATTACAGTTCTTCACAGAATGATATTGCCATACGATATTACCAAAATTCATATGATTACCATCACATCAATATATTCAGTTCTAAATTCAAGCTTGATACTAATATAAAAATATAAGATACATTATCATTACTTAAATCTTACTCAATACTAATAATACATAGTAGTAATAAATACACACACTTCTTTAATATTACGAACATCTTAAAAAACCTCCAAAACTAGTCATGTCTATGCTATGCTTAATATGTATTAATATATCATGTCCAAGTTATACATTAGGACTAGGAGAGGTTCAGATTTGACTTCCCCTACCTCTCACCAGCTTTTTTTATTCATTGGTTTACGGATCCGCCAACCGTAAGTATTCAGAAAGTAAAAAGTAAAAAATAAATTTGGATTTCAACAATTTTGCGATTTTAGTTAATTTTGGGTTCTGATATGAAGTACACTCCAAGTAAACTCTTGACTCTAAATACTACTGGCTCATGTTATCATTATGACAAACTGACAATCAATATGGATCGGATTCGCCATGCTTTTCCAAGTAGAAGTTAAATGTATAGAAGATAAAAATATCGATTGTAAAGAGCTGAGACAAGTGAAAATTAAACTTTATTAAATTTTGATTATTAAACTTGGTTCTCATTAATACTCAGTGTATTTTTTTAAAATTTTTTCCCGACCTACCGACCTGGGGCTGGGTTTTTTAAAGTCAAATCCGTAAACCAATATTCAATAAATAAAAAAAGTATTGCCTTAATTATATATATATATATATATATATATATATATATATATATATATATATATATATATATATATATATATATATATATATATATATATACTATTTAAAACCACCAACACGGCAGTGATTTCTTTTGTATTTTCCTCATGAATTATTAATAGTAATAGCAGTAGTGGAAATCTGAACCTCTATTAACAAGAATGTTCTGAAACTTATCTTAAAGTCTCTCGACTTTCCTGACATGAATCATTTCTTTTTGTTTTTTTTACATAATATTTTAATGTCACTAAAACACACTAAATTTTCCATTTTGATAATATGGTCAGCATTATGTTTCGTTATTTACATAAAATTACTGAATACTGTAGTCCAGAGCTCGCTTCATCGTGGGTCGAGATTTCGTTGGGCGGTGATATATCCTTGTCCTTGATCTATCCATTGTTCTTGTAGAGCAGTACAGTCGGGGTTTTGCTGACAACACGTTTATACAGTGCCAAGTAATCTTATCTTTAAAAACCTTACAAAAAACCACGCGAATACCGTAAACTTCCGAGGCTCCGAATATAAGCTCCCCTGTGCATAAGCCCACCATATTCACTGACGCTTACGCCATTCCGAATAGAAGCCCCCATCTTATTATTGGACAAGTATTTATTAACGGATTCCAACAGCTCAGCTCAGAAGAGTGGCGATAATTACAGTATATATATATATATATATATATATATATATATATATATATATATATATATATATATATATATATATATATATATATATATATATATATATATATATATATATGTTGAGTTGTGTAATTGTACACTCCGTAATATGTTAAGGTGAAAATGTTATATACACACTCTAGAACATTTTCACCTTAATATATATATATATATATATATATATATATATATATATATATATATATATATATATATATATATATATATATATATATATATATATATATATATATATATATATATATATATATAGCTCTGTAAGCCAAGGGCTTATAATCGAAGGTTTACGGTATATCTTATTCAGTCTTTTTAATAACTTGAATAAAATTGAATATGTCAAAGGCAAAAGTAAACATGTCATCAGCAATGGTTTCTAATCTTCGGCCAAAAACACTGATCATTCGATAACTTTGGATTCGATTATTTCCGGGTAGTGCCGATTCATTGGTTTACACGTTCTTCTTCGAGACGAGTGTTTCGATCTATTCTTGCAGCTGTAGCCAGGCGCACACGGGCATTGTAGACCTATGAACATGCGGTATGCATTGCAGCGGTATCCTGCTGGAAGTCTGTGCTTGCATCGTCGTCTTGAACAACATTCGCCAAAATCACAGTCTGCGGTTTTTTTGCAGCGCTGAAGGAAAAATAGGTTATTGTTAAACTCAATCTGCACCAAACTAAGCTAACTTCATTTATACTAGTCAGATATAATATATAATAAAAGTCTTCTCTTTAAACATTTAATAGGAAAAATCAGCGATACAAAGTTTGTCAGTAAGTCGACGTTTCGATGTCATCATAACACCATTATCAAGACTAAGATAAAAATAAGCTAGTCTTAGTCTTGATAATGGTAAATGATGACATCGAAACGTCGACTCACAAACTTTGTATCGCTGATTTTTCCTATTAAAGATATAATATAGTTTTAAACTGTTTTCCCTAGAATCCGTAAGTCCTTAAGCCTAGTTTCCATTTGGTCGTTAGTTGTCGCTGGCACGACAAGTGGCTGATGTAATAGAGTGTCAACAAAACTTTATAAAACTCTGCAATCATTAAGACTGATTTGCATATAACACACGAACATACTATTATTATATTAGACTATTTCACATTTACCGCTTGTCGTGCCAGCGACAACTAACGACCAAATGGAAACTAGACTTTATTGTTCAACATTCGCCAAGGAACAACATGCGCTGAAGGAAAAATAGGTCATTGTTACAAACTCAATCTGTACCAAACTAAGCTAACTTCATTTATACTAGATAGATATAATATAGTTTTAACAGTTTTAAACTGTTTTCCCTAGAATCCGTAAGTCCTTATTGTTCAACATTCGCCAAAATCACATTGTGCGTTTACTTTGCAGCGCTAAAGGAAAAATAGGTCATTGTTACAAACTCAATTCTGCACCAAACTATAAGCTAATTTCATTTATACTAGATAGATAGAATATAGCTTTAACTGTTTTAAACTGTTTTCCCTAGAGGTCCGTTAAAGGCACAGTTCAACCTTTTGAATGATGGTTTTTAAGACCATTATACAACCCTTTTATTGATTGAAAAACTAACTGGGAAAATCAATTATGCATAATTCAAGATCAGTAAACTCAATGTTTTTTAACAATATTAAAAATGTTTTAAAATGTTAAAAACATTGAGTTTGCTGATCTTGTCCTGGTTAGTTTTTCAATTAAAAGGGCTGTAACATGCGCCTTAAAAACCATTATATTCAAAAGGCTGAACTGTGCTTTTAAGTCCTTATTGTTCAACATTCTGGCAAATCACATTGTGCGTTTACTTTCCATCGCTGAAACAAGGTTATTGTTATTTAAGAGGCAATTATATAGTGATTATTTACTGAACTTCAGACATCAATTTCCCAATTTGGGTCAGCCAAAAAATAGTTATAAAAATTCAATGTTGTTAATACGCCATTAAAAACATGTTTATAACTAAATTTGCTCAAAATTACTCCCAAAATGTGGGGAAAATGCCATTTCAAAGACACAAATTTTTTTTAAAATTGAGAGGGGGCAACCGCATGCCCCCAGACCCACAAAGAAATGCCCGGCTTCAGTCTAAAATAAAATTTCCCAATTTCAGGTAAACGCGGATTTTTTTTACTTCTGGCTAACACTCTGTCACCATCTAAAATCTCTTCATTTTAACAGAATTTTACAGTTAAAGTGCTCGACATATTTTTAAAGTAAACGTATCAAAAATTAAAAATTGAATATAATCATAAACTAAGTGGAAAAGTATATATATAGCTTTATCAGTTGTAAACTGTTTTCCCTAGGAGGTCCAATAAGTCAGAGCAGCTGCTAATTAGCCATTTCCCAATCGAGCAGAGGGGTCGGTATATCGTTTATGTTTGTCCCTCCAAACAAGCGACTAGATCCAGTCCTCTGCTCGATTAGGAAATGGCTAATTAATTGTCCAGTGCTACTACAAGAGGAAATCTAAACTAACTTTAATTATACTGCATGGGTAGATGATCAGTTATACAGGGGCGCAGGAAGCAATGTGAAGCGGCGGGGGCAGCCATTTCAAAAGGGCTTTTACTTGCTTCTCAGCCATCATTTCTCTGGGCGGCAATATTTGTTAAAACTTTATTGTATGGATACCCGATTACTTGTGGCTATTGTGGGCGGGCAAACTTCGACATTAATTTTGAACAATTTTATTTGTTGCACCATGTGGGCGCAAAATAAAATCAGTAAACGGACGTAGCCTATATTGCCTGATTTAACATTAATCAGGGGTCGCGGAACTTGGGGGCAATGGGGACATGTGCCTCCCCACTTTTTTAAAAGTGAAAAAATGCGCTCTTTGGGGGCTAGAAAGAAAGTGCCCTTTTTGCAGTAGTATTAAAGACTCTGTAAAGGCCATTACCGACGTTATAGGGATTCCATATTTTCACAAATTTTTCGTTCGACTCGTGAACGACAAAAAATCGTTTGATTTTGATCACTCTGAATTATACAAAAGTGATTCCGCGGCCTCTGGCATTAATGTTTCTATCACTGGTTAAAATTAAGCAAAGATTGCTTAAACATTGCTTTAAAAATAGTTATAAATTCCAATTCATGTGAATACCGTACAAATTTCGAAGCGCAGTTCTGGTGAAAAAGGGCAAACTGTTGCCCCCGTGCCGCCCCCGCACTGTTTCGGCAACGGGGGCAGTTGCCCCCGCTGCCCCCGTGGTTCCGGCGCCCCTGCAGTTATAACCTGCTGTATGTGAGCTTGTGAAACGTAAGGATTTCAACAGTTGTGTTTTAAGAAATTATTAAAAAAGAAGTGATTTTAAGTAAGAAAATCGAGGAAAAAGTTTATGCAAATCAGCAAAATTTTGTATGTGTCGATACAACACCTCATATACTGTAAACATTGATTCTTTTGAAATTTCTTCATGAATTATTTTTACAATAATTGGATTATCTACTTTTGAAATTTACAGAGAATGTTCATCAGTCATGCTTGACTACATAAAGATCTCAATCAACATTGAAGAGTACATCCCTCGGGCAGGTATGTGAATGTAATTACTTTAATTAAGCCAATTAATTGCTAATCATACCATACGAGTGGTCCATTAAGGCAAGTGGCCCGTTACTTTTTTTTTTCGTAAGGCGTAAGCGAAAAGCAAAAAGTATATTGTCTGAGTATCTATGACGCGTGTCTACTCCAATCAATGTCCAAATCAAGACAGCCGGCGTTTCGCCCATTCGTTTCCAAAAATTGTTTTCGTATATTGTTTCTGCCTTTTAACAACACAAGATGTAGCTTATATAATCCCATTATGTATACGCCCGGCTTTAGTATTCTGTCTGATTGGTTAATTAGGAAAACTCTCGAAAGGTAAAAATACCAGAGACAGGAAACAGCTCGTATATGTGCAGTTACTAAATGACCCTCATCGAGCGGCGCCCAAGGGAATTTTACTAAACGACCGTCATCGGGCGGGACGTTTTAATAGCTAATTCGCCTCTTTTTATGCTATTACTTATAAAAATACACTGGAAATAGTTTACACTAAAACTGCCCCCGGCTGATTATGGTGTACTAACTAGCTGTTATTAAAAATGATCATTCCTTTGTTGTAATTTACAAATATTAATACGACAAAATGTTATTACTACTTTCTGGCTTTCTTTCAAAACGCTTAGAAGATTGATAAAATTGGACGAACTTTAAAAGTGAAACAGTAACCACTTGTAACTTGATCCTTGTGTGTCTATCCGGCTGAAGGAATGGCGCTTTTCAATATAATGGATTAATTAATGACTATGAGTCCCTTGTTACAAACGTTTTATAAGGCCATATAAAATAAATTCCTTGATTCTCATCGCTAAATTTTAAAAACTCCCAGGAGGCGGGAGGTTTATATTTTATATTTTATGTCAAAATATAAAAAAAAAGTTTAAAATTTAAAAAATTGGAGAGTGAGGTCTTTTTATATTTGCCCTTAAATATATTATAGAAGAACGCTATATAAGTGGATAATTGCACATGCGCTAATGAACACCTACAACGATCTGCAACGACGCTACAATGACCTACAACGACGCTACAATGACCTAAAACAACCCTATAACGATCTGCGAAGATCCTACAACGACCCGTCTCGTATGTATTGAATTTTTTCCGAAATTTTATAATCTATTTGTAGGTCGTTGTAGATCGTTGTAGATCGTTGTAGCGTCGTTGTAGCGTCGTTGTATATCGTTGTAGGTCGTTGTAGATCGTTGTAGGTCGTTCCTTACTTTAGTACCTACGTCTTGACAATACAATGTTAACTCCGAAGAAATTCATATTTTTAATTCAACGTTTCGACTATACCGTTGAGTCATCATCAGGAATTATGAAAGCTACTAAAAAGTTTACAAGTTTCATACCTGTATATATAACTTGTAAAATTTTTAGTAGCTTTCATAATTCCTGATGCTGACTCAACAGTATAGTCGAAACGTTGAATTAAAAATATGAATTTTTTCGGAGTTTCCATTGTAATGTATTTTATTTTTAATAGTGATAGCCTACTTTCATTTAAATGAGTTTCAAAAATTGTCAAAACATCGTAACTATATTAGCAGTTTATATCAAACTCGTGCCACAGAAGTGGTAAAGGACATGTGTGACAACTGAATGGTGTCCTTTTGTAACGTTTTTGGCCAGGGGTGGGTATTTAGTTTTTAATTGATATTTGAGATTTGGGCAAATTTTTTTTTTTTTTAAAGACCATGTAAAGTCCGTTCTGCGCACACGTTCTGCGCACACGTTCTGCGCAAGCTTACATTCCAATGGTCGGGACCCGACCGTTGGAATGTTATTAATATTTCGTATCTTTTGAACTTTCTTGAATTGAATCTCTAGTCTGTATTCATTTACAAGCATAGCGAACCAGAAGAGTGTTAAAAATTCAGTATAATATATATCTAATCATATTTTACAACTGTAGCACTGAGTTCAAAATGTAAACAAAGCGTTTGTGTACATTACGGACTTCACGTGATCTTTAATGGTTGGATCCGCAAAATGTTTGCTAAGAAAACCATTTCTCTTCGGTGCTACCCCGCCATAAATAATGACCGGTCCCTAATCCAACTAGCCTGCGTGGCAGGCCCTCAGTTTTATGGGGGGGGGCCTGACTTGCAACGGGTAGGATTCTGCCCCCCCCATAAAACTGAGGGCCTACCACGCAGGCTAGTATTCCAAAGGTCGTAGGTCCAATTCCCACCGCGGTCAGGCATATTTTTCAAGCTTGCGCGGTGTGGATATACACTCAGAGTAACATCACAAGCATCATATTCACCTGAGTACATTACACCAACACAGAAAAAATCATGATTACTAGATTACATTGATATCGAAGGAACTAGATTCTGTTCCGAAATATCACATACTCGAACCGACCTGACCGCGTAGCTCAGTTGGCAGAGCATTGGGCTAGTAGCTCAGTTGGCAGAGCATTGGGCTAGTATTCCAAAGGTCGTAGGTTCGATTCCCACCGCGATCAGGCATATTTTTCAAGCTTGCCCGGTGTGGATATACACTCAGAGTAACATCACAAACATCATAATCTATATTATAATCTATATACAACTAAAACAATCTACTAACTCAACTCTTTAAAACCAAACTAAAACATTTTATCTAATTGAGGTGAGGTAATGTAATCCTTAACTATATTTGTAAATACTTTATAATTTTAATATAAACAAGTAATTTAACAATCATAGATATATTTATTGCAGCCCCCCCCCCTGAAAAATACTTCGGTGAGTGCAGCTTCCTGAATAAATATTATTATTATTATTTTAGTACAGTAGTATAGACTATATGTAAAAAATATCATGGTACTTCATAAAAGGCATAAAGAGGCATACAATCAGTAAATCACTTCAGTTCCCATACTCTAATACATCATGAATAGTCCTTAAAATGTCCTTAAATTTATGTTGAAATTATGAGATGGACATATATAAGTATTATTATCACAACTCGCTACCCAAGTACCTATCAGACGACATTGAAAGGCTGCAGAAGAGAGCTCTAAGAATAATCTACCCTTGGATGCCTTACACTGATTCCCCAGTGGCGTAGCCAAGGGGGCGGGGGGCGACCGCCCCCCCAATCGAAAAAAAAATCTCTGAAAAAGGCTAAATCCGTAGAGAAATTGGTACACGTTACATCCTCGAAGCTGAAACTGATTAAGTACATCTCGACTGAGGAAAACGACGATATACTGGAGGAACTTGATTTGTAAAATCTCGTTAAAGCAGTTGTACGATATGGTTTCAAGAAGAAAAGATCTAGTTTAGATTTACATGTATGCATTATCATAGCATGAATATTCTTCTCAGACTTATTCTGTAGCGTATAAAAAAGCAACGCAATTTTGAGAATGCGGAAATGCTGTCTGATAGAACCTAGAATGATTTAAATGCAACATTTCTGATCAAAATCACATTGGGATTTTCTTCCCCCAGCATAACAGAGGGGAAATAAGGTGACGCTGACCGGCTCCTTCTGTTTTTGATGGTGACTTTTCCAATTTATTTAATTCCGAGTAGATAATTAGAAATGTCTGGGAAAATTTATGTTTTCGATCTACTTTATAATCTTCGGAATTCTGCAAGATTTCACCCCCAAAATGCTTGAAATCGCATTTCAGGGACTCTAGATTTCAAAATGTTCCCGGGGGTGCATGCGCCCGGACCCCCCTAGATGGTCTCGCGCCTTCGGCGTTCGGTTCGCCCCCCCCCCCCAAAGATGAAGGTCTGGCTACGCCACTGTGATTCCCTCGAAGAAAGCGGTCTGCCTCGCCTCTTCGAACGCAGGCAGCTCTTGACGTGCAAGTTGTTTAATGGGATCACTCGAGATCAATCCCACAAACTCAGATCTCTACTACCATCTGAAAATAACTGTTCATACCAACTGAGACGTAAAAGGCAACTTAACGTTCCAAGGGCCAAAACTGATCGGTTTATGAATAATTCTTTTATTGTTAGTAATTGTAAATATTTTTAATCATTAGGTTTCTTAAATTTTTATAATTGTAAAGTTTTAACGCAATTCAGCCATTATCAGCTGTAAAGTCTTTTAAAACTGAATAAATCATCTATCTATCTATCTATCTATCTATCTATCTATCTATTAGATCAAATAACCAGGAATGTAACCAGGGATTAAATTAGTTAATCAAACAGGGTTATTTCTGGGGTAACCGCGGGAAAGCAGGGTGTTTTAAGGCCGGCGATTTTTGCTGCGATTTTCTCCTTTTGGAGGATGTGAAGGAGTGGATGAGTTATAAATGTTCCAGGTTGTGAAATCTCATAACAACATCATTAAGTAATCTGCTCCTTCACATCCTCCAAAAGGAGAAAATCGCAGCAAAAATCGCCGGCCTTAAAACACCCTGGTTTCCTGCGGTTAACTCAGAAATAACCCTGCTTTGGTTAACTTAATATCCCTGGATACGTTTCCTGGTTATTTGATCTTACTTTCTACCATACTCTGACTAATGTAACATGCAGGCATCTGGTTAATTTGACCGTCCTGGGCAAGCTGAAGAGTTTGCCTGACCACGGTGGGAATCGAACCTACGACCTTTGGGATACTAGTCCAATTTGCTGTGCCAACTGAGCTACGTGGTCAAGTTGGTTCGAGTTGATGATATTTCGGAACTGCGTCTAGTTCCTTCGATATCAGTGTGTGTATTCTATGATATGATTATTTTGTGTGTGTTGGTGTTATGTACTCAGGGGAATATGATGTTTGTGATGTTACTCTGAGTGTGCATCCACACTGGGCAAGCTGAAAAGTTTGCCTGACCACGGTGGGAATCGAACCCGCGACCTTTGGGATACTAGTCCAATTGCTCTACCAACTGAGCTACGAGATATTTCGGAACTGAGTCTAGTTCCTTCGATATCAATGTATTCTAAGATACTATACTTTTTGTGTGTGTTGGTGTTATGTATACTCAGGTGAATATGATGTTTTGTTGAATATGTCAGTTGAATATATGATGCCCTGCCAGGCCAACTCGAACCGACTATAATTGACCTCGTAGCTCAGTTGGTAGAGCATTTGTCTAGTATCCCAAAAGTCGCGGGTTCGATATTACCACCGTGGCGCAAATTAACATGTTACAGTATATGATCAAATACGCAAACTTTTCAGCTTGTCCGGTGTGGATGCACACTCGGAGTAGAAACACCACAAACATCATATTCACTCGCGTACATAACACCAACACACACAAAATGTATTCACAAACTTAGTTAATTAAAAAAAGTAACGAATTTTGCATTCAAAAGATGGCTGGCACTTCAACTAGTCACATGCACGAATCATTGAGACAAATATTGATGCCGAACTGATTTTCCACCCTAAGGAAAAACTCTGCAATAGAATTCCACTGAAAGTGGATCACTTGTCCACTTATGTTATCTTTCAATAAATTCCGCCAGAATCTTTCTCATCTCAAGGACTTTGGGAAGTACGTTTTTAAGTTGGGGAATGATTGCTCCCAGATTGTCGCCGTCTAGAGGCATTCCACTCCAAAAAAGGATTACGAAATTTCGCAGATTCTCTTAACAAACAATGACGAAAAAAGAATGTCCCTTACTGGATCTCTAGAGAGAGCGTTTAGATCGAACCGTTGGCGCCCACCAATATAAGCAAAGTTAGTTTAGCTTGGATTTCCTCTTGTAGTGTGTAATATGTCTATAGGGATTCGCACTTATCGAGCCTGAAAAGTGAACAGCTTATACATCAATCATCCATTAAGATAAATACTCAAAGACATACTAAACTCTTAACTTAGCGGGTTTTTTTACATTCTCATACACGAAAACTAAATTGATGAAAAGAAGAATAGTCCGTGGTTCTTTTCAGCTCTCAGACAACGACCACTACGACTTAAATAGCTCTACGCGTCTTCCTGTAAAATTTGACATTTTTATTTAATCATTTCGGACAATTTTAGTCTAGCGAGAGCGCATGGAATATCTTTCGAGTACCAGTATGTCAGCAGATAACTTTATCTCAAGGGTTCATCGATGAATAGAAATATGTCGAGGTTTATAATTGGATCAATGTGATCGATTTACTTTATGGAAAACAACCTGTTTTTGTAGAAAACATCTCAACTTAATTCATATCACGAGACGAATTTCCGTATACGGCGGGAAACTCTTCTCGAACGAGGAACTTACAGATAAAAATCTGGTATTGGTCCAGATGCTGAAATGTGTATTGATTAGACTATTATTTTGTTTTGTATTTTATGTTTACGAGAGGAAACAAATGACATAAACATCCTGATGATGACTGAATCTTAGTGGAAAGCTAGAATATCAAAATGTTTCTTTTCGGAGTTACCGTTGTTGTATATTTTATAAGGGGTGGGCAGTGCATATTTTAAACGTTTTATAGGATTTAGGTCATTCATGGTGAAGTTAGGGACGGTCAAGAAAACAAGATTACTTACATTTTTGTGTTGGAGCCAAAGCGTATATTACATAGAGAATAATACGTACTTGGGTGCGCGGAAATACCAGATTTATTTCGAGTAACACGAGAAATAAATCTGGTATTTCCAAGCACCCATGTATTTTTCTGTTTATTACATAAATGACAGTCTTTGAAAAGCGAGAATTTTTGCAGAAAAGCGAAAATTGAAAAGCGATAATTTTCACATGTGAGATTATCATAAATAATCTCACATGTGAGATTATCACTTTTATCAGTGCTCGAAATCTCTATAAAGCACTTTACTTTATATAATAATAAACTTTAACCAACCCTTAGTAACAATAGTCTGAGTGAATCCGTTTCAGAAGTTTGAATATACAAGCCAAAAAAGTTCAAAATTCCATTACAGACTTTTCCAACAAGTTGTTACATGTTCAACTATGCATTTAGTTTAATAACTAGTTAGCATGCATGATATCATTTAAGCTGTTTTATAAACAAAATTTATCGGATAATCTTTGCTTATTTAGGCACGTCGGATTAAACTCAAGTACAAACAAACTGTTATCCAAGGGCTAGGATTAAGTTAATCTGCTTTCGAACACTTGCTATTGGCCCCAAAATACAGTAGAAAATCTACAATCACTTCCAGGTTGTTGGGACGAGTTTGACTAATGGTCGCGGGTCGCGTGTCGCGGGTAAAAAGTCGCGGGTCGCGGGTAAAATGTCGCGGGTCGCGGGTAAAATGTCGCGGGTCGCGGGTAAAAAGTCGCGGGTAAGAAGTCGCGGGTCGTAAAAAAGCTCTAAACCGTGTATTTTATTGAGTCGCGGGTTGAATAAAGTGTGTAAAAATCACATTAACATTTAGTTAATATTTAATGGTTTTTATCAATAGTAGTTCGAAGATGTTATGGCTGCAATTGCGAGTTTCTAGATAAATATAGACAAGAATCATATAACATTATTGTAAAGCACGTTGATAGACGGTAGTGCAAAAGGATCCTGTTACACATTCCTATGTTTATAGTCCTGATTTTAGTAATACATATTACCATCCAATTTCTACCATATCATACAGGCGTAAAAATCCGCTATTCAGTGGCTCAGTGCGCGTTGTCGTCAAGCCTCTGCGCATCGATCAGTACTTTCCAGAAACAAGTGCTAGAGAACAGCGACTTAAATATCCGGGTTGTTGGTGAATCATAATGTACTTTTATAATGTCCTAGCATGGATATATCTATTATTTGTGACACTATATGGTTGTTTTTAAATTGGTATAAAACTGATTGTAATAGTAGTGGTAAACTGAATTTATTTGCATGGATATATCTATTATTTGTGATACTATATGGTTGTTTTTAAATTGGTATAAAACTGATTGTAATAGTAGTGGTAAACCGAATTTATTTCTACCAAAGTCTTGTTTGTTTCTTTCAGAACATATTTTTTGATTAGAGGATTTTTGTCATGGTATAATTGTTGGTTTAACATTCTTTCAAGTTTTAGGCTTCTGGCACGTTTATATAGAACCATTAAATCATGACAAAAGGCTCTTGGGCAATATTTCGTATTGAAGCAATCCTATATGGTTGTTTACAAAATGATAATGTGATTTTTACACACTTTATTCAACCCGCGACTCAATAAAATACACGGTTTGGAGCTTTCTTACGACCCGCGACTTTTTACCCGCGACATTTCACCCGCGACATTCTACCCGCGACACGCGACCAATATTTCGTATTGAAGCAATCCTATATGGTTGTTTACTAAATGATAACGTGATTTTTACACACTTTATTCAACCCGCAACTCAATAAAATACACGGTTTGGAGCTTTTTTACGACCCGCGACTTTTTACCCGCGACATTTTACCCGCGACCCGCGACAATCTACCCGCGACACGCGACTTTTTACCCGCGACCCGCGACCATTAGTCAAACTCTGTTGGGACACATGTATAGTTTTAGATTGTAAGTGGATCACCACAGTTTGTTAACACACAATACCGCTCCCCTCTCCTCTCCTCTCCAATCAATCAATCTGATATGAGAAATGGCGCACAACATTGAACAGGGGGCGGGGGGATCGACGTTTGTTGAAATTAAAGGTTTTTGTGGCATCTGTCCACTCTGGACCACTCACAGACGTCTCAACCCTTACGCAATTTGGCTTCTCTCCCAACACTCTCACGCCACAAAATGTTAATCTCACGCATGTAGCAGTTCTCTAATATACAGGGTGTATAAAAAATTGGTACGCTAAGCGTACATGTATCTGCGCTTGGTGAAAACTACTGTGAATTGCTGTTCTTTTACGGGAATCACTGAGTATTTTGATAAAATACAAAACAATAGATACTCCGAAAATTGAAAGCATTTTGAAAAATTTATTTCGACGTTTCGACTAAACTATTGTCATCATCAGGAAATGAATGATGATGATATTACATATGTACTAGTATATATAGTGAAGTAACAAGATACGATTAGTTAAATATTAATAGATCTTTAGAGGCTTCAGTTCCATGGTTTAGGGACGGTTTCATTCTATTAATAGCAATGACTCTTGATAAAGTATCAACGACCAATGATTGGATTTATCTATTATTTTAGTGTTAGTAAATATTAAATCTGTTAGTGAACATTTAATGTTATTAACTTCGTCATTAGGTGTTATTCGAGTAGGTTTATTACAAAATTGAATTCATTACAGCTAGTACCAATCTGTACCATATTACTAGCTGTAATGCCGAATTCAATTTTGTAATAAACCTACTCGAACTAACACCTAATGACGAAGTTAATAACATTAAATGTTCACTAACAGATTTAATATTTACTAACACTAAGATAATAGATAAATCCAATCATTGGTCGTTGATACTTTATCAAGACATGGAACTAAAGCCTCTAAAGATCTATTAATATTTAACTAATCGTATCTTGTTACTTCACTATATATACTTGTACATATGTAATATCATCATCATTCATTTCCTGATGATGACTATAGTTTAAGTCGAAACGTCGAAATAAATTTTTCAAAATGCTTTCAATTTTCGGAGTATCTATTGTTTTGCTGTTCTTGTTGTCGGTTATTCCATTGACCATAAAGATTGTGAATGAACACAAGAATTAAGACGTATTGCAATGTGAATTCAGTCAAATCAAGGAAAACATATTGAAGCTATAGTTGACTAATAGGAAGCAACTTATGTCTGAATGTACTGAAATCATGGCAACCACTTATATCTCAGCAACATCATGCTACTATGTCATTGCTAAGTAGTTTCTAAGGAAAATTTAATAGAGCCAATTGAACATTTGAACATAATGATTCTGTTGAACATTGCTATATTATATCTGCGCTGGCGCAGATACAAAAAGTGCACAGTTCTCAAAATGTCCACTAAACTAACACCATGTTCACAGCAAGAATGTAATATCACAATTGTTGTAAATATAACATTGTTGTAATTGTTGTAATTAATGGCCTCGCGGCCATGTTTCCAGACATGTTTACAACACTTACATGCAACAACGTTATGTTTACAACAATTACATGTTTACACCAATTTATATATCACTCATTCACTCAATGTCGGAATGGAAACTCATTAACCATTGAACTGAAACAATTCACTAATTTTCAACTCTTTAAAACCTAAAACATTTTATCTAATTGAGCCGAACGTTTTCTGACTACAATTAAGTATATGTAATTCTTAACTATATTTATAAATATTATTATTTTAATATAAGCAAATAGTGTAGTTTAACGTATATAATTAACCTGCCCATCAGTACGAGATAGTTATAATATTTTTCGTGAAACACCACCCTGACCAGTGGATCTATTGTTCCAGTGAGGTTATGCAGAACTACGTCGTCTGGTAGCTCCTAAAATTGGCCCTTGGAGCTTGTCAGTTGTCACCCAAGAAAGTTAGAAATGACATTGCAAAAGCCACGTATTTGCAAAAGCCACGTATTTGCAAAAGCCACGTATTTGCAAAAGCCACGTATTTGCAAAAGCCACGTACTTGAAAGAGTCACTAACCCTCTTATTGACTGATATATATTCGCGCTATATAACTGTAAAGTTACCACAGATAGCTTTCTGCATTTGGCAGCAATTCCCTTGCGATAGTAACTGCTAGTATAGATATATATATTGCAGAACCTCCCTGAAAAACACTTATTCGACCTTGCTGAAAAAACATTATTTATTACGATTTTGTTTCACGGGTGTCTCGCGTCTGTTCCGTGCACAAACGATTGATCTGCTTACGATTTTAATTGGATAAATGTATCAATACACGAATTTCACAAGTGGTTCGGATAAAATATGCGAAAAAAAGTAATTAAGGCTATAATCTACAAGCCACATATGTTATTCAGAAGTTTCGATGCTTCGGTGGCGCAGTTCGTCAGAGGCTTCGCCTTTCACCTTTGAATACGTGGGTACGCCAATTCTCGTTACGGACTCATGTGAAAAGAGTGACTCAACGCTCTGCCGAAAGTCGTGGGTTTTCTCCGGGTGCTTCGGTTTCCTCCCACAGGGAAAGTTGACAGGGTGGGATTAGTTGGGACTTGAGGGTAAACACAATAAAAATGTAATATCACAATTGCTGTATTAAATTGAATTAATTTTGATATACGCAAACAGACATTTCTCACATTTCCCCGACATTTTAAACATTAAACAAAAACCTTTCATATAAACCAAAAACCTCAACAAACCTAGCATTCATTGATGGAATAAATACAAATATCAGTATTTTATCACTATGCAAACTAGAGACATTCCATGGCTTAGCTTTCGGAACTATTTCACCAACTATTTCACCTTGTTGAAATGGCCCACAACATGTGCAATAAATATCCCAAGTAAAAGCACGATGATAAACAAAGGGTAATTGTTCAATAGCAGTAATCTTTTTTCCTGATGGTGTTAATTCGAGTTCCATTTGCCTGTCTATCGACCTCACGGCCCTGAAAACAGCTGTAGTTGTTGAAAAACTATTTAAAGCATTTCTATAGCTACGAATGTGCGCGCGTATATTATATTTTGCACGCGTATATATCATTACGATTCAGCAAATTAATCCGCCAATATTGAAAACCTTGGATTTAACGCAATTTGCACGCATATTATTCAGCAACTTGATCTATCCACACAGACGATCGCGCGCGCGTTGCCTTCACCGACATTAATGTATAATTTGCGTGCATACTATGTAAGCAAATTAAAGGTCGTGCGCTGTACGTTTTGCCTCGGAAATTATGCTAATGGTTAATTAACGAGATTTTACCAAAACGAACAGCAATAAACCAAAATATAGTAAGTGCGAATTAACTAGGAAGAGTTTGCATTCACCAAGCATGTGGTAGGTTTTGGGGAGACATTTACAACACCACCGACTGCGGTTTTGCGCATATTAACCAAAAAGGGGATGTATATAGCAGCCAGATATCGCGTGTCTTGGATGACAAGTTTACTGAATGATGACATGATTCGCATGATACCTTAAATACACTTGCATTGCATTGCATTGCATTGCACGCAAAGTCGATAGCCGAAGTAATCAGAATAGATTTATTTGTTATTCGGTCCATATAAAGTATTCCTTGCGGATTTCATGCTAATGCGATTACTAAGTATATCATAGAAATCGGAGCACTCCGACTAACAGAACAATTTCCTTCTTAAGGGCAATTAAGGAAATAAGGATTCTTGATTTAAAAGCAGTGTAGAATAACCCAGATCACTATATATAGTGGTTTCGCAAATTATGTTAATTAAGTGGGTCATGACATGATATGCGTAATTAACTTAACTGAAGGCTGTAATATCACGCATGAATTTGCAAGCATACTATAGTAGTTAAATATATGTTTGAAGCGAAACCAGGTTTTTCTCTGGTTTTTAAATATTTATTATTACGAGCTTTCGAAGTCTTCAACAGGTGGATTACAATACTACCAATGATTACTGTTGGTAGCGACTAGATCGACATATTCAGCTTATTGTTACGATAACAAATGAATATAGCGTTGGTAAAGGTTGGTTAAGGCTGCTTTCCACTTAAGCATTTTTCATACGAAAACGTTTAACGGCTATTCGTATCTGGAACAGTGCGCCGAACTTGATTTGCTATTCGTACTGCAGTCGGAATATTATATACAGACCCCAAACCCTTCTCTAACCCTAACCCTAACCAATAAATGTCTAATAAACAATTTGAGAGTTAAAAAATGTCGGGGGAAAAAGTCAAACAGATTAACAGAAAACCGTCGGCTAAAACTAAAGCTGACCCGACTTCGTTTCGCTTTGCACGCACGCAACGCCTTTGCCGAATACGCTAACGGCAAGCTGGCTGAAACTGTTGCACCTTGCAAAAAACTATTTTATATTACTAATTTAAGAAATGTAAGAATCGGGTGCCGTACTCCAGTACGAACTCCAATATCGAAAATTCTCGATACCAAATTCTCGATATATAAATTCTCGATAATTCTCGAAAAACTTCGTACTCCAATATCGAAAATTTAAATCTTTCTAAATTTTATATAAGCAGTAATTTCCTCACTTTAACTCGTACACAAAACTAAATGTGCTTTTATTCATATAATTATTTCATAAGAATCTTCGAAATGGATTTAAATTTTCCCATGTACGTACGTATGAAAAAAGCAGCTTTACCGGCATATTTCGCATGCGCTTACAAGTGTCACTGATACGTGTAAACAGCATGTGCATGTCATGTGATTAATGATTGTGACTCTATCAAACACGCAAGCACCGGTTTGTTGTGTTGCGGCTACCGCGGTGTAAACGCCTTGAATTTCTCTTTAAATACATAAACTCAACTATCGCCTTGAATTTCTCTTTAAATACAAGTCTGTTTGAGAAGTAATATAACAAACTCCAAAGTTGTCCATTATACCGGCTTGTGAAGTCATTAATAATTCATGAAGAAAACAGAAAAGAAATCATGAGCGTGAAGGAGTTTGTATATCTGATGCAGAAATCATGCTGATTTACATAAAATTTAAGCTCAATTTTCTCACCAAATATATCATTTATTTATTTTAAATTGTCGAAGAATACAATGTTCTCATCAAGACATTTCACAAGCCATTTGCAACATTCGCGTCTGTGTTGTACCGGATATACAAACTTTAGCCTTCGGCTTGAGTTTGTATATCCGATACAACCCGGCTGCTCATGTTGTAAATGGTATAAAACACCTCGAAGTATGTGAAATATCTAGGCTAGCGGAATCTTTTTTCCACACACGGTATTTTATACGCTGGCAATAAACCCTATCCGGTTTATTATATGTTGCACGAAGATAAGAATACCTTCGTCTGCTCGATTGGTGAAGGACTTGTTCTTGAGCGAATTATGCTAATGAAGCGCACGCATGTCTACTAATAACATAGTATTGAGGGACTTAGTTGCTTAGTTAAATCTCGTGATTTAGTAGACTTGATACTTAAATGTATGTATATGTTTGTCTATAGCCCCTTGCCAGTGAAAGATGAGTAAAATAAATCATTGAGATAGTAATTACAATGTTTGTTTTGCACTTCTCGGGTGCTGAATGACGTTTATGTATACTTATTTGAATGTAATATACACCGTGTCAGATCAGACATTGTATACAAACTCGAGCATAGCCGCAAATGCCTGTAATGGAGTGTTGAGCGTAATTTGAACAATTGTGTTAAAAGAAATTATTCAAAACGAACTGGTGTGAAATAAGAAAAAGTTTATACAAAGAGAGATGTGTATATGTGAATAAAACACCTCATTAATTAAACATAGATTTCTTTTAAATTTTCGTCATGAATTATTAATGAGTTTTACAACTGTCTGGTAAAAATTAGGAAGAAAAAAATGAAGAATTTGAAAATGTCTGAAAAGTTTAATTGCCGTTGATTGCTAAATAAAGTAAAGTCACTGTGCAGTGTGGCCGCCACATGTGACAAAACTTTCTGTATTTATTACTGCGAATTCCATTTTACTGCATCTGTCAGGGTCTTTAGAAGTTCTGTCAGGGTCTTTAGAAGTCACTCGCAAACTGAGGGGGCTTATAATTCCCACAGAGGATTATTATTAAACCTAAGCGCATAAAGGATCTGCAGCTGACGCAGTAGTATCTAAATATTTGCTTAACACCTGTTTGTTATTCGTCACCATTATCGAGTGTCTACATTTCGTAATTCAGAGTCGGATTTGTTCGTATTAACCTTTTCAACGGAAAATACAGGGTGTCCTGACAATCATGATGCCATATAGCTATGTCCCACAGTTTTGCACAACTAATTATACTGTTCACATGCCAACCTTAATGAAGTTATCAAGAGATGAATTTTGATACCAAGATTATTTAAATCAGTCTAGTAGAACTAATGTTATGGCTGTTTTAAAATAAAATCTGGTTCATCCTGACTTCATTGGTTCTATATAAATACTAGACCAATTTTAACGAATGTCAAAATTCATCTCTTTGTTAAATTTTCGATGCGCACTGATTAGCTGCAGTTTAAAAATCTATGGACAGACAGGTAGTAACAGGTGGGGGTAGGGCAAGAGTTTGTATATCAGATAAAGATCGGTTGCTCATGTTTTAACGTGCTTAAAAAACGACCCATCTTACGAGTTCATTGGCGAAGTAATTTTAAAAATAAACATTGTCTATAAGCCGAGAAAATCAAAGCTGAAGTTTATGTAAATCAGGACTAATCTTTATCCGATTTACAAACACTGATTAAACATTCATTTCTTTTGTATTTTTCTGATGAATTATTAATGAGTTTTTAATATGCGATAAAAATCATATTAATTTATATAAACTTTAGCTTTGATTTCCGCGCCTTTAATAGACAACGTTAATTTTTAAAATTACTTCGCCAATGAACCCACAAGATGGGTCGTTTTTTAACTAAATAAACAGAAAAATACATGGGTGCTTGGAAATACCAGATTTATTTCTCGTATTGAACATGATATCTCACTCGTTCGCTGCGCTCACTCGTGAGATATCATGTTCAACACTCGAAATAAATGTGGTATTCCCGTGCACCCATGTATTATTCTATATATATTTCCATACTATGAATATAATATCTAAATAGTATGGATATACTCATATACTATGGATTTAGTGGTGCAATTGCCAATTTTGTAGTATGGATTTCACATTTTTTTCCCAGCGTCCGCAGTTCGTGCTTTATCAGATAAAAACACTCGCGCTGCACACTCGTGTTTTATATCTGATAAAGCACTCCTGCACGTGTTTTAAATAGTGCGTAAACTTCGTATCTGATATGGCTGAGAGCTTTTAATAACAAAGTTCAGTGTGTTGAAAAACGAGTTACTAGTAAACAACTAGTCTTGAGGAATGTAAGGCGGTCATGGAATAAATTTATGGATGTTTATAGTACCGAGACAACACAGTTGGTGGCAATTTTGTTTTTCCAGTTATTAATCCAATATGCTTTACTTTCGATCTGTTTTTAATAATTGTTTTGGCAGGAGTTATTAACTTTAATTTCTTAGTTTAGTGAATATCCATGTATACATTAAGCAAATCCAATAAAGCCTAAAGCGGTCATATATAGTTGTTAGTACGGCCCCAATTATATAGTTATTGATTTAATCGCTCTGGTTTAATCGACACTCTTGCGCGTATGGTCAGTACGTTTCGAATTATTTATAAAGTAAACAATCTTTTTCACGCCCAGTCTTCAAAGTATAGTACATTAAGTACAAGTTTTTGAAAGGTATTCCAATGTACTACCAGTTTCTGTGATCGCAGTGGGAATTTTGCATAGGTAATGTTTTGAAGAATCTGTAAGAAATCTTTGAGAGAACTTACTTCACTTGTTTAACTAAATTACGGTTTTGAACAGCGCTGAGATCATATGGTACCAGCAGAATGTAAGCACGCAGACAAAAATGGTAGGCCTACGTGGTTGAAAACAAAGTACCACACAAGTGCCATTTCGCCTTTGTGCAGCCAGTTCGCGAATTATCGCATGCTGCGGCTTGGCGTGAGATATTAATATTGTATCATGCATTTTGATTTAAGCTCATTACCAAGCTAATGCAGCTGTTTTAAATAGAGTCTAATTTAAAATAACTTCAAAGTGTAGAAAATGAAAACCAAAATTAATTAACATATAGACCAACTCTCGAACTTGAGCATATTAAACCTGACAATAACCATGTAACATGGACAGTCTCGTGTCTGGAATACCGGAGTGCCTCCAGGCTCCATTTTGACCATATTCATATAATCTCCAACGTGCTGTTTCTGTGGAGGCAGTCACAATAATGCGATCACCGCGGATTAGTAGGATAAAACTACCACAAAAATACAGGCAGAACAAAATAGAACTTCGATTTTCGAAGCTCGAAACGTCGAGGTCATGCTTGCGTTTTTCAGGTTGTCGTATCCCTATCAATCCACATTCCACAGCCGTCGTATTCAGAAATTAAAAATTTTAAGTACCGTCAAGCAGTTACAAGATTACGCGTTTCAGCACACAAATTAGCAGTAGAAATTGGTCGATATAAAAAAAAATTGCCTGCTGTGATAGAAAATGTAAACATTGTGATCAGTGTGAAGTTGGAAATGAACAACATTACCTAATGCCATGTGTTAACACAATGTTTACATTTTTACGACAGAATTTTATTAATTCTGTTTATAAAATTAATTAACCAATCATTCAAATATTTTGATACGCAAAGTTTGTTCCAATATATACTACGTATGAAAGATAGAAATATTCTGAAATTATCTTTAAAATATTGCTACGATATACTAAGAACTTTTGATATATTGCATGAGTTAGTCTGAACAAATTATTTGTAAGTTTATATAATGTAATGTCTTTTTTATATTTTATATTTTGTAACTAAATGTATATGTAGGTATTCAATGTACCAATATTGGTATTTGTTTGAATAAAGTTTCTTCTTCTTATTCATTTTCAACTACTTTCTGTAGTAACACTGGGCCAGTAAATGCATCGACAGACCTTTGTTTAAAGAAGGGATTTCTAGTTGGAAATTTCGACTGGAATTTTTGTAACTAAATGTATATGTAGGTATTCAATGTACCAATATTGGTATTTGTTTGATTAAAGTTTCTTCTTCTTATTCATTTTCAACTACTTTCTGTAGTAACACTGGGCCAGTAAATGCATCGACAGACCTTTGTTTAAAGAAGGGATTTCTAGTTGGAAATTTCGACTGGAATTTTTGTAACTAAATGTATATGTAGGTATACAATGTACCAATATTGGTATTTGTTTGAATAAAGTTTCTTCTTCTTATTCATTTTCAACTACTTTCTGTAGTAACACTGGGCCAGTAAATGCATCGACAGACCTTTGTTTAAAGAAGGGATTTCTAGTTGGAAATTTCGACTGGAATTTTTGTAACTAAATGTATATGTAGGTATACAATGTACCAATATTGGTATTTGTTTGAATAAAGTTTCTTCTTCTTATTCATTTTCAACTACTTTCTGTAGTAACACTGGGCCAGTAAATGCATCGACAGACCTTTGTTTAAAGAAGGGATTTCTAGTTGGAAATTTCGTCTGGAATTTTTATACATTAATTAGACCTAACTAGCAGTTGCGAAAAATGTAACATTAATTAGACCTAACTAGCAGTTGCGAAAAATGTAACTGTGACCCTCTGACAGGAATCGAACCTGGGCCCTGCGATTCCGGTGCAGCGCTCTAATCAGCGCAATTGGAAAGTAAATAATGAAACAATTTTAACCTCTCGTACTTTCAAAATTAGCGTCTTCACCTTCGAGGTTGACCTCGTTGATCTTTGAGTCTTTGAAGTTGTATAAACTTAACTACTAACGAAAAATAGATTCCACAGACCACAACGTTCCCCACCCACCAAGAGATGTGGTATACGATGAATTTTACACGGATTGCGTACTTGCAAGATCAGACATTGTCTATTTTTAGCCCAATCTAATACTGCGCAATACTGCTGACGTTTTGTAATCCACTTTGCGAAGCGCTACGTAAACGGGGAGTCTATAAGTTTCACGTCGATTCGTCAAAAGGCCGACACAGACAAGTGAAGGAAAGCCGTGTAGATGTGAGGTGTGGAAGGGAGCCCCGAAAATTCGACGTGATGTTCGCAGTTGCCCTCAAACGTCAGCTTAACTGACGTAGTTTGCAACGCAGACACTTTATGAGTTCATAGGCACAGTGCCAGACTGTAAAGTTTGGCCTGCGTGGGGAACGCGTTCGAAATTTTAGCTGAATTTCTGTCCGCGCATTTTCAAGAAAATCCTGCAAAATCTGCATATTTTTGACGAACTAATGATATATTTTGTCTCGTATGTGTTGGCCCTTGCGAGCGAAAACTCTGAAAATGCCATTTCAGACGTACCATCTAGAGACTCCAAATTTTCGAAATTTTCTCAAATGTTCTGCCTTCATTTCCGCACAACTGCCATTTACGACGAAAAGTTCCCCGCGCAAAAATAATACTTTACAGTCTGGCACAGTGCGTTCAAGGTAATATACTAATATCGAGTGCGATTATGCGACTTGCAAATAACCGCTATTTCGTGACCTGTTTTGGAAGGGGTACACGCAATATCACCGCGCCGCCATGTGACCATGTCGAATACACGTGCGCAATTAATTTGGAATAAATTGCGCGTTTAACTTTCCCCTTGTTACGAACCGATTAACCGATATTTTTACCATTTTTAATAACGCGGAGAATGCTAATTAGGCATTTGTTGATTTCTAATCTGGGATATATTAGCTAAATTCATTAGCAAAAACGCTCTTCTCCTAATATATATAAACTTAATTTAAAGTCTATTCATAGTGTAAGTATGTAATTTTAGGGCAATTCCACGCAAAAACTGGCACCGCAAAAAAATCAAAGTGTGTGGGTCATGCATGGGTTTATTACATTGTAATAAACAGTAATATCAAGGGTTCATTAAGTTTAAGGAAAAGCGACGTTTCATTAACTAATGAGAAATGTGTATTCTATAACTTAAACAACTTTTGAGTACTCAATTATGCAAACTGGTGAAAATTATTAAATAATAAAGACTTCCGTTGTTTTGATAAAACCCGTGGCGAACCATGTCCAAACCGAATCAACGAGCTTCTCGCAAAATATGTTAATTCGACGAAAAATATGCTCAAAGTGCTTTTAAATCCCTAGCCAGAGCTAAAATTACAACATTACCAAATATCACACGATTGCGGTTTGCGTGTAAACTAATGCGGCCAGAAATCGAGGCAGAAATATACGGACTTGATTTAGTACCCTAAAGAAATATACAACGCTCACGTATACGGTAAATATGCTAATTAGTCTTTTATATTTCCAACTGAGATTCAATGAAAGTACTATTATGTAAGACGTATTGCGCATTGCCGCTTTCTGAATATTCCCAGCAGCAGTATCACACCAGGCGTGCCTTCAGGTAAGGACTTACGTAAATCAATTGAGCACGATCTAAATCACGGAATTCTACTATCCTGCTGGTACTTGGTAGATACGAGTATATAAAAGAGTTTTGCATTGACGTGAAATATGTTAATTAGATATTCTTTGAACGAAATCTACAATACGAGCGATATATTCTAATTGGGTATTACTTTAAACGATTTCTTAAAAAACTTTAATGCGAAATAAGCTAATAAGGTATAATACTGAGAAATGAAATTTACAACCCTGTTAACGTGAAATATTCTAATCAGGTATTAGCTGAGCGCAATCTACAATCATGACGAGTATTTTCTAATTAGGTATAAAGTATCATTTAAAATACAGAATGAATGCGTAATTTATTCATCAGATTAAACGTAATTCGTTTAAAAAATGACCAACATAACTCAAAAAGCTTGCAAGAGACCACCACAGTTAAACAGAGCTAAAAGTAAAAAATCGCTACAAAAAATTGTCGTGAAATATGCTAATTAGTTATATGGTTTCAAACAAGTCGTCAAACTAAGCCGGACAATATGTTAATTAGATCTTCCATACCTGTAAAAATCGTCCTTGCACTACCAGAAGGCAAAGCAGCGAAAAGATTATGAGCGTTGATGTCACCTTCATGTTAAACAAGAAAACAATGATGTAAAAGATGAACTGTCCACCAAAAACAACCGCTCTCGTCAGCGATCGTGTGTACTGAAATGAAAGAGGCACCACTAACCTTTGACTTATATACCAGATCGCACAAAAACTCGATTATTCTAAGCTCGTTTTGACAGGCGATAATTTTGTCACCGTAAGTGGCCTAATGCCCGGAATGTGACATATGGTTTATTACACTTTTGCGGTTGTGTTCGTCAGCTCGCGCAATGATTTCTCGCTGGATAATTTTTGAATACTGCCAACGACAGACGTTGCTCTATACAACGTATTCAGGGCGACAGTCTGTTAATATACGTTGCGTGACTCTCTTCTATTCGTCAATTCATCTCTTTAATGGTGCTAAAGACATGAAAACAAGCCCAGCCTTTCAGGCTTTCATAGACTCGATCTAGAAAATTTTCGCGCTTTTTCTGCCAAACTTTCCATACTGTGCGGCAAGTATGTGCACAACATTGGAAATTGAATTTCTAAATATAAATAGGTGGCGTCGCCATTTAACGACCCGGCATCTTTAAATATCTTGAGTAGAAATTATCTAAGAATGTTCAGAATTATGAAAATGTTGCTTCCAGCTTCTACTTAGGCTATGTTTTTACCATACCGGATAGCTTTGCGTAGCGGCATGAAAAAGCCCCTATATCGGATACGGAATGTACAACTTTAAGAAGCTGAGAGAAACAACATCTCTGATCCTTGCAATAATTCTTGAATTCTGAGAATATAGCGTTCGTAAAAGGTATAGGTGTTTTTTCGCGTCGGTACAGAAAGTACAGTGTAAACATAGCCTATTAAATTGCCCTCCCCCCGTCTAATAGGCCACCAGTGTAAAGTCTGTGGAAATTAATTCTTAGATTATTGAAAAAATTTCCAAAAAATTCTACCCTTGCCCTTTACAATGTCAGTGAGTTGTCATCCAATATGGTTTTAATCAATACTGTGATAGGAGGAGGGGGCGGCAACCATTTCTGGCCTTCATGACGGAGAGACAAACTAAGAATAAAATGTTGAAGGATTTAGAGATGGAAATTATCCTTTCTTAGAGATGGAAACGTTCCCCTTTTCAGTTTTGAGTGAAATTTTGATCTAGACAAGTCTGGACAAAAATGTTTTTCGTCTTGATTTATGCAAGAAATGGTCAGTTCATTGTCACGTGTGTATTGTATTTTCGCCAGAGCAACCAATGCTATGTTTTCATTTAACCATTGTGTAAGATGACGACTGCTCTTGGTTGATTGGGAGTGAAAAAAACAATAGACCTTTCCCCTTATGAGTGAAATTTTGATCTAGATGCGCCTGGACAAAAATCAATCACAGCTTGAAAGAGCATCACAAAATTAGTAATATTCCGAAGTTTCGTTGCGAAATGTTGTAAAATGCGGATAATATAGCCCGAAATATTGTAAAATGCGGATAATATAGCCTTGCGAAGTTTGCCATTTTTCAGTCATTTTGCATTACAAATGGGAAATTGATAATCAGATGATCAAACTGATTATCAATTTTCCGTGCGTAATACAAAATGACTGAAAAACGGCAAACTTCGCAAGTCTATATTATCCGCATTTTACAACATTTTGCAACGAAACGTCGGAATATTACTAATTTTGTGATGCTCTTTCAAGCTGTGATGAAATTTTTGTTCACACTTGTCTAGATCAAAATTTCACTCATAAAGGGGAAAGGTCTATTGCCGTCTACAATACCCGCCTTCAACTATTATTCAGTCGAGTGAGCTGCCAACAAAATCTAGATGTTTACCGACACCTTAACATGGCAGTACCCTAGTGTATATACATGAACTTGTGGTTAGAGCCCAAAAACTGGACCCTGTAGCTCAGTTGGTAAGGGGCGAACCATTAGAAAAGTGATGGGGGGAGGGGGGAAGCAAAAATAAAAACCGAGCAGGGGAAACAGAAAGAAAAAATTCGTGCACCAAAAAAGTTTGAAAAAAAAAATGGGGGAAAGAGACTTTCAACAATAGGGAAAATTATAAGTTGAAATAAAAAAAAATTCGTACAAGAGATTATCTGATTTTAAAAAATTATCACACAAGCAAAAAATTTAAAAAAAATATTCGTACACGTTGAAAAAGTCCCCCATCACATTTCTAATGGTCCTCCCCTTAGAGCGCTGTACCGGAATCGCAGGGCCGCCGGTTCAATTCCTGCCAGAGAGGGCCTATAGTTGCATTTTTTCAGTCAAATGCTCCTGGGTAGGTTCAAAACCAATCTACAATTATAGTTATATCGACTGTAGATGCCTAATAATAAAATAGCTTTTATAGTGATTTATACACACAATAATTAGACCGGCGATACCTTTTAATTAAAAAGTCTACGGTCTACGGATTTTATTTCGTTGATTGTAGAACCACTCCCAGTCTGAGGGCTAAATAGAAGAATGAGAGAAGCGAGAGACCACAATTTATTGACCATATTTTATCCAGACAATATGTGCGCTTTTCCACCATATAGTCAATCAGTGGAACATGGTCTAAAAGCTCAGCAGACTTCAATGACGGCATGCTCAGAATGAGCTACGATTTCAGAATGTTAATTGAGACAGCTTCACCGTGTACAAATCCTTTGAATCATTTGCTTATGAGCATTTCTTCTGTGACGGGTTCAGTGATTCGGCGAGGCTATTGGATCATGATTGCTTCATTATGCCAAAAACCCATTGTTCTCACAGCACACAAGACATACATACCTTCTTAGAGAGGTTCAGGTTTGATTTCCACTACCGCAACCATAAAGGGACCATTCTGAACCAATCAGATGCGTTTGATGACCGGTTAACCAATCAGGTGGGTACTGCATGAGCCCGTGGGAGGTTGCAGAAATCAAACCTGAACCTCACTTCTATTCAGCTCACTTCAGTGACCGATTAGGGACCGGGTCATAAAGTAACTGCTAGGATGGGCCGGAGGAAACTAAGGATGGGGCATGAAATTATTTTCATCAGTTTGGGTGGGCCATCAATTTGTTTTTTGTGCAAGTGGATGGGCCATGAAACACATATAGCCTGTTTGCACTCAATACATACTATAACTACTACACAACATTCCTATTAAGAATCAACATTCAAGTCGTGAAATTTTTCCAATGACCTACGATGGGCTTTGAAATTTTTTCTAGGTTCTCAGGATGGGCTACCGTTTTTTTTTTGTTTTTTTAAAACCGCCTATTTTTCCCTCCAGCCCACCCTAGCAGTTACTTTATGACCGGTCCCTTACATAAAATTTTAGACTATTTATCTTTACATCAATTGACCATTTGCGTAATAGACAAAATTTTGATCTAAACGAGTCTGGACAAATATTTCATCACAGCTTGAAAGAGCATCACAAAATTAGTAATATTCCAAAGTTTCGTTGCGAAATGTTGTAAAATGCGGAAAATATAGCCTTGCGAAGTTTGCAATTTTCAGTCATTTTAGATTACAAACGGAAAATTGACAGCCTCAAAGCGTATCGGGCTGTCTATTTCCCGTTTGTAATCTAAAATGACTGAAAATTGCAAATTTCGCAAGGCTATATTATCCGCATTTTACAACATTTCGCAACGAAACTTTGGAATATTACTAATTTTGTGATGCTCTTTCAAGCTGTTATGAAATTTTTGTCTAGATCAAAATTTAGTCTATTACGCAAATGGTCAATTGCGATATCCGACTTTCCTAACTATGTCTGTCCCACTCTGTCAACTTTCCCTGCCGGGCAGAAAACCCGACACTCGACAGAGCGCCCGGAGAAAAGCCACGACTTTCGGCAGAGCGTTGACCGACTCTTTTCACATGAGTCCATAGCGAGAATGAAACCCACGATCTCAGAGGTGAGAGGCGTCGACGATTGCGCCACCGTAGACCAAACTGAAACATTCGCAGAGTTTTCAAACCATGATAAGATTGACTATGTTCCCACTATAGCTAATAACCAGAAATACTATAAAGACTCGTTTCACTTCGGCAATTTTGACTGCGATTTCAGTTGCGATTTTTTCCTTGTGAACGAGTTGATGAGCTATGAATGTTCAGATTTGGGTTCATACACTCAGAACCATAGATATCTTATGTACACTAGAATCTAGATAGTGCATCTAACTATTCTGCAATTCAAAAATTGAAGCCGTGATTGCAGACTCAGGATATTCCCATGAAATGAGAAGATTCGTATGTTTTCTATTTCTTAAACAGAGAACTTAAACATTAAGTTAAACCTATTCCAAATACATTTTCAAGCTGTCCATGCAAATGATGAACGTTATTGTTGTTTTTAAGCGTTTATTAGCGAGTGGGAAACTTAGTCCAACATGGCCGCCATCTATTCAAATGGGGGTAACCGCTGGAATATTCTTGGCTTCAATTTTACTAAAAGAGATGCGCTATCTAGTGTACAGGGTGTATCAAAATAAACGCAATTCATCTTTTGTGCTTAATAACTTTCGAAATACTATTTCTAGTTAAACGCTTTTAGGCTTACTTGAAAGCCTGTTCTTTTCTCTTTCAAACAAACTATTATCCTTGTCTCCAATGCTAGTAATAATTGCACAGGAAAAGATTTAGTAAAACCTATCATTTTTAGTTGCTGTTTAATTATGCAAGTTTACTATGTTATTGTTTAGTCGGTTTAAATGTTAGAATTTTCTTCTTTAAACTTTAATGTTGTCGTCACTACATCTGGAAAACCACGTAAGAACAAATTAAAAGTATTTTAAAAGAGACCAGGTTGTTTGAAAATCCTAAACGAATGCTAAAAATCGTCAAAACATTCTGGTGTCTGAGCCAGAGTGTCATCGAATTGCGATGTAATGTCAACAGAAATTATAGCAAGTTGATGTCAGTCAGCTTAGATGGTCCAAGCCAAAATGATATCGCATTTGAAATTTCAAACTGAGTTAAAAATAGTGGAAGAAAAGCCGTAATTATACTTATTGTTACAATCCATTTAATAAAATGCAACATTTTTTTGTTTTAATGAAAAAATCAGTTATTTTCATGAGAACGATTTGTTATTCCATATCTCAATTTTCTTA